CATAGGTTCGTTATGAGTCTCCAGTGGGTAGAGGTTGTGTAGGGACTGCATACGGGAGCGGGACAAAGTTTTGAGGATGGCAGGGACCATGGGGTAGCTAGCGATAGGTGGGGCCTGGATCCGTGGAGACCCCCATCAACCCTCAACTCCAAGCCATCACTTCTTTGGCTTTCCCCCTCCTCTCCACCCATTCTGCACCTGCACCCATGCAGCTGAACATGACAGAAGACAAAACCACACCGGATGACCGGCAGCACTCGAAATCCACATGCACAAACCTCAAGTGGGTCCCTATGCTTCGGGCAATCCAAACACATTTCACTGGTCTATTCACTCTCCCTTGTGACTCTCACACCTTCTCCTCTCTCCTCAAACCACCAAGACCCCCTCCTGCCTCCTTGCTGTCAGCCAGATAATAGTTTCTTATTTCTCTGAGAAAAAAGAAATCGTCACAAGAGAACCCCACATTCTCGCAATGCCAAATCCCCACCAACCTGAGCCTGCCCATATGCTGTTCCCTTCTTCCTGCCCACACTCTGATCTAGGCATGCCCTCCCCTCATGCACGGGATGTCAACCCCTTTTGCCCACCCTAGGATTTTGCTCTTGCAATTCTCACCTTTCTCTCCTGCCTCTTAAATTATCTTCCCCTCTACCAGTCATTCCTATCAGCCTATAAACAAGCCATGATATCTTCCATAAATTCTTCCTTGACCCCACTTTAACTTCCAACCACCTTCCCATTTATCTACTCTTTTTTATAGCATACCTCTAGGGAAGAGTTGCCCATACTCCACCCTCTCCTTCTCTACCTCCTCCCCCTCTCCCAGGCTCTCCCTGGACTCTATTCAGTCAGCCTTCCATGGGCACTGAAACCCCTGGTTAAGATCTCCAATGGCCTCTGTCATGGTTTGAATTATGTCCCCCAAAAAATATGTGTATCAATTTGGCTGGGCCATGATTCCCAGAATTGTATGGTTGGTCTCCATTTTGTGATTGTAATTTTATGTTAAAGAGGATTAGGGTGGGATTGTAACACCACCTTTACCCAGGTCACATTCCTGATCCAATCAATGTAAAGGGAGTTTCCCTGGGGTGTGGCCTGCACCACCTTTTATCTCTCAAGAGCTAAAAGCAAAGGGAAACAAGCAGAGAGTTGGGGACCTCATACCATCAAGAAAGCAGTGCCAGGAGCAGAGCACGTCCTTTGGACCGGGGTCCCTGCACAGAGAAGCGCCTAGTCCGAGAGAACACTGAAGGGAAGAAGGCCAACAGAGAGAAAAAGCCTTCCCCTGGAGCTGATGCCCTAAATTTGGACTTTTAGCTTACTTAAACTGTGAGGAAATAAACTTCTCTTCGTTAAAACCATCCACTTGGTGGTATTTCTTTTATAGCAGCACTAGATGACTAAGACAGACATTCTCCCCAGACCCATTTTCAATCCTCGTCTCACCCACCTCACAGAAGCACTGGACACAATGGAGCATTCCTCCCTTCTTGAAACCTTTCTTCTTTGAGCTTTTGTGACTTGTCTTTTTTCTATTGACGCTCCCTTCCCAACTGTCTCAGCCCCAGGAATATAAAATCCATCCAGTGGCAATGACTCCCCTGTTTGTATCTCCTCTCCTGACCTCTACCTGAAACCAGATTCTTGTAACTGACTCCAATTAGAAGTCTAATATGGCTTTTTACACTTAACTCATCCAAAACTGAGCTCTTGATTGTAACGCTCTGTGAGCATATAAGTTGTGTGTCAACCTGGCTGGTCCATGATTCTCAGTGGTTTGGCAGTTATGATGTAGTTTGGTAGTCATATAATGATGTGATCACCTCCATGATGAGATTTGATATGATGTGATCACCTCCATGATGGGATCTGCTGTGAGTAGCCAGCCAGTTGAAAGGGAGTTTTCTTGGGGGTGTGGCCTGCAAGCCTTTCTGGCAAAGCTCGTGGGCTTTTTGCTGGATCCTGCAGCTGGCTCCTGTTCATCTGACCTCCAGTTCTTGGGACTTGAGCTAGCAACTTACCTGTTGTCTTGATTGCCCATCTTGGGATTTGTAGGTCTTCACAGCCTGTGAGCCAGAGCCCTACTCTCTGACTTGCCCATCTTAGGTTCACCAGCCCCTACAGCTATGTGAATCAGGAGAAGCCTCCAGCCTGACCCATGGACTTGGGATGTTCCAGCCTCTACAACTGTGTGAGCCATTTTCTTAATATAAATCTCTCTCTATGTATATTTATCCCCCACATGTCTGTCAGTTTGTCACACTGTGGGGGCTTGCATGTTGCTGTGATGCTGGAAGCTATGCCACCGGTACTCAGATACCAGCAGGGTCACCCATGGAAGACAGGTTTCAGCTGAGCTTCCAGACTAAGACAGACTAGGGAGAAGGACTCAGCAGTCTACTTCTGAAAAGAATCAGCCCGTGAAAACCTTATGAATAGCAGCATAACATTGTCTGATATAGTGCTGGAAGATGAGCCTTCCAGGTTGGAAGGCACTCAAAAGACAACTGGGGAAGAGCTGCCTCCTCAAAGTAGAGTCAACCTTAATGACGTGGATGGAGTCAAGCTTTCAGGACCTTCATTTGCTGATGTGGCATGACTCAAAATGAGAAGAAACAACTGGAAACATCCATTAATAATCGGAACGTGGAATGTACGAAGTATGAATCTAGGAAAATTGGAAATCGTCAAAAATGAAATGGAACGCATGAACATCAATATCCTAGGCATTAGTGAGCTGAAAGGGACTTGTATTGGTCATTTTGAATCAGACAACCATATGGTCTACTGTGCTGGGAATGACAACTTGAAAAGGAATGGCATGGCATTCATCGTCAAAAAGAACAATTCAAGATGTATCCTGAAGTACAACGTTGTCAGTGACAGGATAATATCCATATGCCTACAAGGAAGACCAGTTAATACGACTATTATTCAAATTTACGAACCAACCACTAATGCCAAAGATGAGGAAACTGAAGATTTTTTACCAACTTCTGCAGTCCAAAATTGAGCAAATATACAATCAAGATGCATTGATAATTACTGGTGATTGAAATGAGAAAGATGGAAACAAAGAATGGGGATTCCAGAACACTTAACTGTGCTCATGCAGAACCTGTACATAGAACAAGAGGCGGTTGTTTGAACAGAACAATGGGATAGTGCATGCTTTAAAGTCAGGAAAGGTGTGCGTCAGGGTTGTATCTGTTCACCCTACCTTATGCTGAGCAAATAATCTGAGAAACTGGACTATATGAAGAAGAGCGGAGCATCAGGATTGGAGGAAGACTTATCAACAACCTGCGATATGCAGATGACACAACCTTGCTTGCTGAAAGTGAAGAGGACTTGAAGCACTTACTGATGAAGATCAAAGACCACAGCCTTCAGTATGGATTACGCCTCTACATAAAGAAAACAAAAATCCTCACAAATGGACCAACAGCAACATCATGATAAACAGAGAAAAGATTGAAATTGTCACCGATTTCATTTTACTTGGATCCACAATCAATGCCCATGGAAGCAGCAGTCAGGAAATCAAAAGACGCATTGCATTGGGCAAATCTGCTGCAAAAGACCTCTTTAAGGTGTTGAAAAGTAAAGATGTCATCTTGGAGACTAAGGTGCGCCTGACCCAAGCCATGGTCTTTTCAGTCGCCTCATATGCATGTGAAAGCTGGACAATGAATAAGGAAGACTGAAGAATTGATGCCTTTGAATTACGGTGTTGGTGAAGAATATTGACTACACCGTGGACTGCCAGAAGAACAACAAGTCTGTCTTGGAAGAAATACAGCCAGAGTGCTCCTTGGAAGTGAGGACGGCAAGATTTCATCTAATGTACTTAGGACATGTTATCAGGAGGGACCAGTCCCTGGAGAAGGACATCATGCTTGGTATAGAGGGTCAGCAAAAAAGAGGAAGACCCTCGATGAGACGGACTGACACAGTGTCTGCAGCAGTGGGCTCAAACATAGCAAGAATTACGATGATGATCCAGGACCAGGTAGTGTTTCATCCCGTTGTACACAGGGTCACTATGAATCGGAACTGACTCGAGGACACCCAACAATAACAACATAAGTTTATACAGATGTTCCCAAACAAGGTGTCGTGACGCAGTGCCACAAGGAGGGTGTGCAAAAAAACGTTGTAGAAACTCTCGTATTTAAGAAACTAATTATTGTATTAACCTCACACAAAAAGTTTACCACTATGGTAGGATGACTCCAGACAACATACAAGGTAGGCATCACAAGTGGAGCCCTGTGAGGGGCCCTGAAAGCAACCTGGACAGAAGCAGATACGTTACCGGATGCTGTGCCAGTCAGGCAGCAGGAGCTAACAGGAACTGTTCGTTGACAAGGGTCTGATTATATTTTTAGTACATTGTTTTCTGCAATTTGTCTATTTGCTATTTGAAATAAAGTAAATGAATAAGTAAACTTTTTTCCTGGTGCTTGTATATTAAAGGGAGCTGCTGATGTTCTCTGGCCAGGGAGCAAAAGTATCTTCATCCAGCCCTACCCTGTTTTGTTTTTCTTTGTAGCACTTTTCACTTACATTTGTTTCTCATTTACTTATGTGTTTTATGGTCCCTTCCCTGTCTTGATTGTTTTGTGTCACCCATGCCTAGAACAGCGCCAGGCACAGCCTAGGCCCTCACATTTTTATTGATGATGGATGGATGGATGGTTATTCATAATCCCACAAGACAACACTCATTGAACAAACAAAACAAACCAACATCTCTTGCCTCTGAATAAAACTTTATGTTTTCTTAAAGCCCACTCATATGTGCACTTCCAAACACCTCTGAGGGGTAGGGCGGACACTTCTGTCCCACAATTTGCAGACTCTGTTAGGAGACAAATGAGGAACATATCGACCTGAAGGTAGTCTGAGCCCTGTGGCTTCCTCAGGAGCCATCTGCAGCCCAGCCCTTGCCCTTGGAGTCTGGGGGAGAATTCTCTTCAGCCCAAGGATACTGGCAAACTCCTTCTGGCCTTGGCAGGGCTGACTTTCATGGACCGAGAGGCTCATGGCAAAGGCTGTGGGTCAGAGGGCGCTCAGGTCAGGCCAGGCTGAAAGAGGGCACAGGAAGTGCCTCTGGGGCTTGAGCCCACTCTGCCTTCATGCACTGCAACAACATGGCTGGTCATCCCGCCACACCCCGCCCCCACCTCTGCCAATATCCCTCCCTGTTGGACACTGTTTCTTTTTGTGCTCAGAGCTCCCCAAATATTTTTTAAAATGCCCTATTTTAGATATGGCCACCTTCACACCTTGTCCATCCAACCTTCAACTGGGGGGTTTCTTGAGGCCACGGCCAGGTCTGAGGGACCCATATGCCCAGCACTCTGCCTCTCGCCTGGTCCATTAGCTGTGTGGCCAGATGTTGGGCATGGTCTCTGAGGACGCCCAGACCATGGGGTCAGAGGGTCTCTGAGAGGCCCAGGATCTGCGCCAGCCAGGGGTAGGGTCTTGAACTGACCTTGAGAAGGATTTGCTTTGTCTGGCTTAATCCTCTCAACAATCCTGTGAGGGACATACCAGTCACCCTCACTTTATAGATGGGGAAATGGAGGCTGTGTCTCACTGCTGTGTATGGTGGATGCTGGATTTACTCCAGGCCTGTCTGACTCAAAGCCTATTACAGGAGGTCCCTACAGCTCATGTAACCCTTTCTGGAAAAGGCAGGGATCACTGAATGAAAGAAAAGACAAAAGAATCTCAAGATACTGGTCAGCGCAGGCTGCCCCACATTCTAGGACATTGTCTCCAGGGAGCGCTCATAGTAGTAGCTCAAGCTTCTTGGCCCTAGCCCTGCTCTAGGAGCCGGGAGGGTGGGGTCAGCTGCCCAGAAGAGCAAGCCTATGCCTCAGGCCCACTTTGGGAGAAAACAGCTTTGACCCTTAAAGGCTGCCTCCTTGTTTCAGAAGCCCCCACCTCTGCTTCTTCCATGGCACTCCCCTACACCCCCAGCTTCCCCCACGAGGGCGCACCAAATGCCTGAGAGCCCCTCCACTCCGGCCATGTCTCAGGCCTGAGGCGCTGCCTCCAGCAGGCTCCTGTGGAAGGTCTGTGTCAGTAAAGGGGCGGCGAGTCCTAGTCTGGGCAGAGGAGACCCTAGGAAGGGGGCTGTCAGGAGCCTGGACCTGGTGGGGAAGACAGGTCTGAGGAGGGAACAGGGGAGGGCCAGCTGCAGATGGCCAGAGCGGTGAGGGGGCCTGGCCACAGGGCCGAGGGTCAGATGGGGCCATGGGGCTGGCTGGTTCTGCCTGGCAAAGTCGTCTGCACGTCCAAGCTGCCCAGGCAGGGACTTCCTGGACTCACCTGGGGTGAGGCTGTAACAGGGTCAGCACCATAGGCAGAGGCCAGTGTCTCAAATTAGTCAGACTCCTTGGGCTCTGCCGGGCCAGTGTGGGGAGTAGGCTCTTTTCTGGCCTGAGACCCCAAGCTAAGTCACCTGGCCCCTTACCAAGCTCCCATCCTGGTAAGAGCCCCCCAGCACCCTACTCCCTGTCCCCTCTCCCTGGCACCTGAGCTCAGGGCCCAGGGCATAGCAGACAGAGGCAGGCAGGAAGCCATTGAAGGTGGAGCTCATGACAGATGAGTAGGCGCCCATGGAGGGGAAGACGAGTCAGTCGCCCATGTCCAGCTCGGGCAGCTGCACCCCCTCCACAGAGAGCTTGTCAAAGGCACCGCACATGGGGTCATACAGGGTGCAGGGGAAGGGGGTGGCTCTGAGCAGAGCCCCTGTAGGGAGCAAGGGGATGAGGAATCAGAGAAAACGGTTACCCCATTCACCCCACGCCTTAGGCAGTCAGGGAGAGCCCCCCGGGGCACGAGTGAGAATGCCCCAGCAAGCACCGGTCATTTAATCGTTTTCGTTGTTAATCACCATGGAGTAGATTCTGACTCAGGGTGACCCCATGTGTGTCATAGTAGAACTTTGCTCTATAGGGTTTTTGATGGCTGACTTTTCAGAAGTAGATCACTGGGCCTTTCTTCTGAGGTACCTGTGGGTGGACTCGAACCTCCAACCTTTTGGTAAGCAGTCGAGCATGTTGACTATTTATACCACCTGGGGTTCCTATGTAGCAAGCACTGCTCTCCACATTTGACATACACATCTGTGAACTAAACAAAGACCCTGCCCTTTCGAAGCTTGTATTCTAGTGACACATTGCAGTCCTACTAATTTACAAGTACAGACACACATGGGTTCTCAGTTTTCCTATCTATACAATGGGATGATTTTATTCAGAAATCACTCAAAGTACTGTATCTCAAACTTGGCTGCACATTGGAATTGCCTGGGGGAGTTCTTAAAAAGTACTGTGCCTGGGTTCCAATCCCTGAGAAATACTAATTTAAATTATCTGGGGGTTGGCCTGGGCATCAGGATCCTTTAAGGCTTCCCAGGTAATTCTAATGTGAAGCAAAGTTTGAGAACCTATCCTTTAAGTCTCCTTCATCTCTGACATTCAGGAATTCTGGAAACACAAACACACACAGAGTCTGTGAAGAGAGATGTCCATGGTATCACACATATCCAAGCAGGTGAGCACACACACTTACACAGACCATGCACTTGTGCACCCACCTACCTGCACAGGTGTAACAAGGAAGTGCACGCACATGCAGAGGTACACATGCAGGTAATGTAGGCACGTGTGTGCCCGGCCTTGTCCACATGCGGCAGGGGATGGGGATGGGGGTGGGGTGATACTCTGCAGAGCCAGGAGGGTCTCTGAGAGCCTGCGCCACGCCACCTGTCAGCAAGATCCTGAGGCTGCACTCAGCGGTCTCAGGGCTGGGAGTCATCGGAACCGCGCGAGGAAGCCTTCACCTTCACCATGATGGGCGTCCTGGGAACAGGCTTCTTGAAGAGGTTGCGGAAGGCACCATAGCTACCCTCACTGAGATAGTATAGCAGTTTCTGGCGGCCTCCTGGGAGTGGAAAGAGGGCAGGACTGAGGTGTGATCGACCAGGTACCACCACTCACTCTCAACGCCTGACCACCAGCAACCATGGGAGAGGCCCAGACCCTCTGCCTGGCACTGGATAACTCCTATTCATCTTTCCCCAGTCAGACTAAATGTCCCCTGCTCCGGGAGGCCCTCCCTGATGCTCAGTCCCATGTATGGTTAGGAGCCTATCCTCTGGGCTCTCACTGCCCCTCTGCTCACCTCCATCAGAGTAACAAGCACCCCGCCCCCACCAAATGATGAGCTATAGCCCAGGCGCTGTTTTAAGCTTTCTATATGGGTTAACTCATTTAAATCTCTTAACAACACTGTGAGTAGGTACAATGATCCCTGCTTTGCAATTGAAGAAACTGAGTCTGCCAGAGGTCACACAAGGAGAATGTGGCAGGGCTGGGACTCATCCCCAGAACGTAGGTCCCAAGTCCTCTGCTTTTCATTTAGGCCAAGTTCCCTGAGCATCTGCTCGTGTACGGCAAAACATGGAGTAAATGGCCTTTTTATGACACGGTTCCATGCCAGTTGCTCCTTCAGGATGTACAGACTACAGCCGCATTCTCACCTCCTTTCATTTGAATGCTCTACCTCTATTGATATTACTGAAATGTGTGGCAGCTTTCTCCCTACCTCCACCCTACTCTTGATGCATATTGTGCTGGTGGTCACCTACGACCCCCAGATACTTTGGACATGACCTACTACCAAGTCAAGTCCTCATGCTATCGCTTTCTTGAATCTAAGCTCGGGATTTTACATTGATTTCTGTTACCATTGGGGGCATTTCAGCTACCACTTAGATGCCGGGTCTTTCTGAATTTTCTCCCCCTGAATCCCTTCCCCACTGTCTTCTCCCTGGTGGCAGTCACCCCATCTCCTCCCTACTCTCCCAGCTGTCATCACTGAGGCCTGTCCCCTGTGGCCATAGCCTTGATTGTCCCCAAGTCAGTCCTGGGTAGAATTAGTTGTGGCTACCCTGAGGCCAGAGCTCACTCTGCCTTGGCGTGTGGTGTAATTAAAAGTGCACAAGCTTTTGAGTCAGATTGAGTCCAGCTGTCCCACTTATTAGCTGTGTTGCCTTGGACAAATCAGTTTCCCTCTCTGAGCCTCAATATCTCCACCTCTAAAATGAGCATGAGCCAAAAACACCTCACAGAATTGTCGTGTAGAAATGAGAAAATCTGTGCTTCACACATAATAGACGGTTAATAATTGACAGCTCTTGTTATTGTGGAAATAGAAAATAAGAAGCCGTGAATAATTCTAACTTAGACTCCCATTAAATTCTGGCTGAAATCATATAAGACATATCGTGAGGAAAAGAAATCAGTTGACACGAGTGTCCTTGGGACTACAAAGCGCCGGGCCAGCCATTTGTCAAAAGGATAAGGGAGGAGATTAAAACGATTTATAAAAATTTAGAAGTTATCATAAAGCCATAAAGAATAAAGAGCATTAATCCAGTGAGTTAGATGTACTCATATTCTCTATCTCATCATGAAACTGAATTTCTGGTTGGCTCACTTTTGAGACACACCCTCCTCCACGCCATCCTGCAAAAATCACCAACAAACTAAGGAAAACCTCTCCTGTGATGGCCGACCTCTGTGGTCAGAAGGGTGACTCTCATCCTACAGATGTGAGCCTTAACCTTGAGACCATGATAACTACAATATTGCCTTTGCATATCTACTGCAAGAATTTGTGTTTAGGCTATATTCTTGGCTATAAAAAGTTGTATCTGCTGGGAAATGCTTGAGGAACCCTGGCGGCGCAGTGGTTAAGCATTTGGTTGCTAACCAAAAGGTTGGTGGTTTGAACCCACCAGCTGCTCCATGGGAGAAAAATGTAGCATTTGGCTTCCGTAAAGATTACAGCCTTGGAAACCCTGTGGGGCAGTTCTACCCTGTCTTATAGGGTCCCTATGAGTTGGAATTGACTTGACTGCAATGGGGTTTTTTAATTTGTTTGTTTATAAAATGCTTGCTGAAAGAATTTGCTCATGGAAGGTGTAAGGAGTGCACAAGTGTGAGTCTGTGTGTGACCTCCTGGGCTGTATTCTGTGCCCTCACCTCCATAAATGCAATGTTGAGTCATAGGCTACTCAGGAAGAACGGAGATCCTTAGTCTTGGCTCTCTACTTCCTGGTCTATTTGAGAACAACAGAATAGTGATACTAACAGGTTCATTCCTGTACCCAACTTGAAGCTTGTTTCCTGTTAATTAGACACCCAGGAATGAAGTCCAGACCCTCTGCCCATCCTGTCTCCCCAGGTCTGGGCATGCCTGGGCAGTGCCCTTGCACCCCCCCACCCCATGCCATCTTGTCTCACCCACCAGGCTCCAGCACAGCCTTCTTAGCTATGATGTTGACAGCGGCTGTACAGACAGGTTCCACATAGAAGCGGCCAGGCCCTAAGATGACCTCGATGCTGCTCCCCTCAGGGAAGTCCTGGGCCAGAGCAGTGTTGATTTCTCTCGCTGTCTGAGGGGACAGATTCAGACCCAGCTCCTAACGTGTGTGCACCAGTCCTTGTGTGTGTGCGGGGAGGGGTTCACATACATCGTCACCATTCAGCCTGGGACAGTGCTGTAGGGAGGTGGTATTATCTCCCCCATTTTACTGAGGAGGAAACTGAGGTAAAAACTGTGGCCCAGAGAGGGGAAGTAGCTTGCCCAAGGTCATGCAGTAAGTGTATAGACTGTGGCACCCTGAGATGTCTGAATTTGGAACCATTTAAATCAATACACAGTCAGCCGAGATGGAATGTTCCCTGGGACTGGGGGACAGCAAACTCCTACCTGACTGCAGCTTAACCAGGGAGAGCAGCTAACATGTGTACAGAAAGTAATGGAGCCAGAGCCACACCCCTGCTCATACATGTACACAGGCCATGTATGCATAGTCGGCAATAGACCCTTGAACAAAGACCAACAGACTCACGGTTACAGGAGCTCCCTGTACACACACACACACACAAACAAACAAACACACACACTCTGGTCCCTAAACACAGGCTGGGACACCAGGCTCCCCCTCATTCTTCCCTGAGGCCGACCCTCTCACCTCCTCAAACACAGGCTTGGAGCCCTCCACTCCGGGGAAGGCCCCTCCAATATCCAGGAGGCCCATGTCATGCCTGGCCCTGTGGCCATCTCAAACACGCGCCGGCAGTCAGTGATGGCACGTGTGTAGCTCTGTGGCATCTGGCAGTCGGAGCCCACGTGGAAGCTGGGCATAGTCATGACAAGTGACATGGAGAAACACATGTGGAAAGGCAAGGGTCAGTATGAAGAGACTCAAGCATTCAGAATCACCACCCAGGGGGTGCACAGACACAAGGAACACGTGGAAATAAATGCAGATCCAGATACCTCAGCACACGTGACTGCACGGGGCCACATGGCACCCACAGAAACATCCCTCTCAACCTTGGATATACACAAGGTGTCCCCGGAGATGCACGTGACAATCCTTCAGTTGTGGGACTTATGGATGTATGGTCGTGTGGCCGTCACCTCTCTCAGCTGCCCCTCCCAATGTCTCCACTGCAGGGGGCTGCCCTTCTCCTCTTTGGAGGGTGTGTGATATTCCAAATTTCAGTGCCTCCGAGGCAGGAGGAGGGGCTGAGTAACCACTCAGGGCCTGGATTAGGGTCAGGCAAGTGAGGCACTTGCCTGATAAGCAACATTGAAGGGATTGCCAAACCACTATGTAATCAAGATAAATAACATTTAATGCACTAGCTTAAAAAATCAAAATGAATGTAAAAACTTCTGTGATGAACAAAACATAAACCTTTTCAATAAAGGCAGGATCAGTAACAGTGCTGTACCGAGCTGCATTGGAGATCAAGATAAAAGGACGACACAGTAATACCACTGCTGCCTTTACTTAAAACTTTGATACCTTCTTCATCGTGAATTTTTTGCATTAATTTTGATGTTTAAAAAGAAATATTACATCAAAATATTATTTATCAATATAAGCTTACCATATGATCTGGCAATTGTACTTCTAGGTATTTACCCAAGTGAGTTGAAAACTTACATCCACATAAAAACCTGCACACAAATCTTTATGCTTTTATTCATAATTGCCCCAAATTGGAAGCAACCAAGATGTCCTCCAATAGAAAAACAAACTGTGGTATATCTGTACAGTAAAGTATTATATAGCGATACAAAGAAATGAGCTATCAAGCTACGAAAAAACATGGGGCAACCTTAAATGCATATGCTAAGAGAAAGAAACCAGTCTGGAAAAGCTACATGCTATACAATTGCAGATCCTGGACACTCTAGGTAGTGAAAAGGTCAGGGGTTGCCAGGGACTCAGGGGGCTTGGGGTGTGGGATGACTAAGTGGAACACAGGGCAATTTCAACTCCCCACAAAAACCAAATCCATTGCTGTCGAGTTGATACTGACTCATAGTGACCCTATAGGACAGGGCAGAACTGCCCCCTAAGGTTTCCAAGGAGCAGCTGGTGGATTTGAACTGCTGACCTTTTAGTTAGCCGCCAATCCCTTAACCACTGCGCCACCAGGGCTCCCAGGGCATTTTGGGGCTCTGAAAGTTTCTACACAATACTGTAGTGGTGGAAGCATGACACTATACCTTTGCAAAACCCATAGGCCCACATAACACAAATAGTGAGCCCTAATGTAAACCATGGATCTTAGTTAATAATAAGGTATCAACATTGGTTCCTTAATTGTAACAGTGACACAGTGGCTGCAGCAATGGGCTCAAACAGGCACAGGCCCCGGCAGTGTTTTATTCTGTTGTCCATAGGGTTGTTCTGTTGTACATAGGGTCCATAGGGTCGCTATGAATCAGAACCGACTGGACAGCACCTAACACCAATTGTGACAAACGTACCAGAGGAATGCAAGTTGTTAATAACAGGAGAAACTGTGTAGGGGGGAATAGGGCGCATGGCTCTGCACTTTCTGCACAATTTCTCTACAAACCAAAAAACTACTCTAAAAAAAATTAAGTCTATTAAAATGTCAAAAATAAATTAATTGCTTTGAATAGCTCATTTATCTCGAGTACTAAAGTTTTGGTTTCCCTGAAATTATGTACCTGAGGCCAGTGCCTTGCTCTCTCACCCCAGCTAGGGATAACATCCAGCTCCTGTGCCTTCAGACAAATGGGGCAGCATGGAGGCCCAGAGAGGCCAGGGCCGACCAGAGGCCATGCAGGTGAGGAAGGTGGAACCCAGGACTCCTGTCTTCCAGTCAGGGGAAGCCATGCTCACTCACCTGGCTCCAGCCACAGCCAGCCCCAGGTTTTCGGCAGATGTAAGCAGGTGCCCACACGCCTCCAGGCTGGCCCCAAACTTGCCACTCAGGGGGAAGGTGCTCTCGCTGTCCTGGGTCTGCAGCTGAAGGACCAGTCGAGAGGGCGGAAGGCGGGCAGTGGGGCTTCAGCACAGGAGCCCCTAGGCCTGGGTGCTTTACCACCACCACCCCAACCTCCCCCACCTTCCCACCCTTCCTGCCTAGCTTCTCTGGGCTGTCCAGACGCTGGTTTCCAAAGAATGAACACAGGCACTACTTCCAACCCTCTGCCCAGGTAGGACAAGGTAGGAAAAGGCTACATTTATAAACACCTGCCTCCTGCCTTCGTGTTATAGGATCAGAGATGTTAAGTAACTTTCCTAAGATCAAGACCACACAGCATGCGACAAATGAATCTGAGATTTGAGTCCTGGTCTCTGTGACTCCAGTGTGAATGCCCTTTCTATGACATCACCTGGTGCCAGGCTCTGCCCACTGCCAGCGCAGACCCAATGTTCATTTTGCACCAACAGGTGCTAGGGAAGCCACTGGCCACTGAGTCGAGTTCTTGTGTTTCACTGCTGGGCCTCTCCTAGGTACCACACGGAACCACAGCCTATCTGGTTTCTGAGGCTCAACCCCGTCTGCCAGAGCCCCAGGCCTGCTGTCCCTCGCCCCACCTGCCCCACCTGCCCATGCCCCTGCTGGTCTCACCTGGCCCCAGGGTGATGCTGGGCCATCTTGACCAGCTCCTCCTCGCTGTCGAAGGTCATAAGCTGCACCCCATGGAGAGCAGCATACTGGATGTGGGAGACGGGCTTGCACATAATGCATGAGGGGGCCACGCCATGGCCCAGCACCTGCTCCAGCTCCACCTGACATGGGGGAAAGCCAGACTTGGGGGCTGCTTCATGCCTCCCATACTCTCAGGGTACAGGAACACTGGGCATGGTCTAAATGGGCTACCCTTGATTGAGCACTATTGTGCCTTGTGGTCTTCTAGACTAAGAAAAGTATAGTTGGCCCCATTTTAAAGAGGGAGAAACTGAGGCCCAGAAAACTGAACTGGCTGGGCCAAGACAAGAACAGGATCAGTGGCTTGAAGCACGTGCTCCTTCCGTTCACTATCTCAGGCTGTCTGCCCTAGTCACATGGACCCATGGAAGGCTATCCACAGAGTGTTCATTCGTTCATTCCTTCAAAAACAACTATTGAGCACTGCCCATGCCGTGCATTGCTCTAGGTGTGACGGTTCCTGTTCTAGGACTCCTGACCACGGGCCTCTCTTCCGGGCTATGCTGGGCCCATGAAGGAGGCAGTTAGCAGCGGGGACGGGCTTACCTAGCTGGCACAGTCGGAGCCGGTGCCCAGGGCGGCCAGGACACGCAGCACCCAGGGGCTGCTGTTGCCCTTCACTGCATAGAAAGGTGAGACCCATGGCAGGTTTTGGAGGAAGGTCTGATGGCAGCTGGCCAGCATGCACAGGTCAGCCACCGTGAAGGGGTCTCGGTGGTCCTGCAGGGGCAGAGAGAGAGGGAGGGAGGGCTGTGTGATGGGTTATCTCATTTAAACCTCACAACCCCTCTATAAACTCTATAAAATATCATCCTCATGTTAGAGATGGGAAAATAAATGCTCAGAAAAGTGGTCACTCAGAAAGTTCAAGGTCTTATAACAAGTACATGGCAAAGATAGGATTTGAACTTACATCTTCTAAGTCTTAAACCAGGGAGACAAGCAGGTAGTCACATTTGTAAACCAAAGCTGCATGCCGAAACAACTCTTCTCTCCACCTGGAGAGCTTGGCACGGGGTATATCCCAAGTGGTGGCAGAAGGTGGGTGAGGTCACAGAAGAACTAGTCCAGCCCCAGCATAATGGAGATTTGGAATAAGACCTAGTCTAACGGACTTGTAAAACCATTTAACAGAAAGTTTTATCTCTTGCCCACAAAAGAAGGAACTGAGACTCCCCTCCCCCACTTCATTCCAACTTCATTCCAGCCCCTTCGCTCTCCTCCCCTCTCATCTCCCTCCCCTCCCTTTCTTACTGAATCTGAATCAGGGAGCTCTCGGAAACATCTTCCGCAGGACCAGCTGCCACGCCGAGTCCGCTGGCTCCAGGACAATGAGTTCCTTTGGCCAGGTGATCTGAGGGGACCCTTTTTCCTCCTTCAGTCCCCAGAGTGCCTACATTCTGGGGAGGGCTTGCCCTGAGGACCCGGCCTCCTCCCCTCCTCCCAGCTCCCAGGTCACACAAGTCCTTGGCCCCCCAGTTCACCACACAGAGCTCCCTTGGAGTCCACATGAACTGTCTCGTCTGTATGGTGGGCCACTGGCCCTGGCCCAGACTACCTCAGAGACTGCTGTGGGGATCAAGCAAGAATCTCAGACTGTGCACACCTCTTCTGGGCTCCTCCACACCCATGTTCCCATTTACAGATGAGAAAACTGAGGCACAGAAAGGATAAGTATGAAGTTCAAGATCCCTTAGATCATGGGACATCAGAGCTAAGACCTAGGAGATGTTCCAGTCCAAACCCTCATGCTGCAGACAGGAACAAGAGGCCCAGGGAGAGGAAGAGACTTGCCCAAGGTCACCAAAAGGTCAGTGACAGAGTTACATTGGACCTGGGCTCCCTAGAGTGGTTACTGAGCCCACTGCTGGCCATAAATCCCTGAGATGGAAGTGAGGTCAGCCTGAGTCAAGTCCCTCTGTTTCAAAAGTTGGGACTGCACCCCGTGGCCCCCACTCCACACCCAGACTCACCTTATGCCCATTGTGACCTGCTTCCTCAGGCACAGCCCAGGTGGCTGGGATCAATGCTGGTTCTGGGGCTTCAGGTAAATCCCTGTGGGAAGAGTAGAACCCGGCCCAGATCTCAGGAGGAGGCCAGATCTCCCCTCTCTAAACCCTCGGCCACCCTGCCTGCTCAGCCCAAACTTCCCAGGTCAGGAGAACCAACCCTCCTAGGTCTGCCCACAAGGACAGGTGTACAAAGTGAGGTCAGACTCTGGTTCTAGATCAGAGATGATCAGATGGAAAAACTCGCACTTTACAGATGGGAAAACTGAGGCCCACAGGTCTCCAGATCACTTAGCAAACCAGCTGTTGAACTGGGAGTAAACTCAGGCCCTCAGACTCTAACCATGAGCCAGCTCCACTCCTTGGGGAACGAGCTAGTCTCTACTGTGAGTGTTCCACTGCAGATTTAAAGATCTAGCTGGAAGTTCCTATGAATGGAGAAGTAAGCTTGCCTGTGTCACTCAGCGTCCATTCACTTCCCCCCACCCTCCTCCTGCCCTCCCCCTCCGTATGGGCTTCTGAGGTGGCACCTTGTGTCCCTCTGGCTCTCCCAGTCTGACTCCACCACTCTGGAGCAGCCCTACCTCTAGGATATCAGCTGTCAACTCCTGCAGGCCTAGACCTCACCTTTGTGCCTGTTCTGGGAAGGAAGTTCAGTAGAGAGCTTACTACTCCTCTGACTTTTGTTTTCTGCTAGTCTGTCCCAGGCAGGGGTTGGGGAGGCCCCAAGGATGGCAGAGATGGCAGGGTCCCAAATCTTCCTATGCTTGGAGTGGCACAGATGTGGGCTCTACCCAGAAACTAACCTACTGTGTGACCTTGGACCAGTCAATCTTTTTTTCCTCTAGCCTGCCTCCAGCTGCAGGCACCTCCATGGCCCTTCCTGGTGCAGCAGAGTAGTTAAACCCATGCACTCGAAATCAGCCTCCTTTACCACTCACAAACTATGTGTCTGGAGGTAAGTTATTTGACTGCCTTAAGTCTCAGTTTCCTCATCTGGAAAACGTGACCTCAAGGAGTAATGAGTAAGTGAGATGACATATATAAAGCACTATTAGTGGTGGTCTTGTGTTTGCCCTTCTGTCCGTATGAGTTTCCCTTACCACACTGTGATGTCTTGAAAACAGGGACCACATCTTCTACACTTCTGGGTCCCCTGTGCCTTGTGTAAGACCCAGCACTGAGTTTGATTCAGAAAGTATTTGTAGAATAAGTAAATAAATGAATGTCACAGCTAATACACGGGAGATTTAGGATTTAGATCAAGGCCTGTCTGACTCCTAACTAATCCTGGTAGGGATCCAGAACAGAAAAATTAGTGGGACAGAATTGACAGCACAGAATCAAAGCACAGAACAAAAGAAATATAACAAATCACCAAGAAAGGAAAGGTTTATTGAGTAAATGATGTTGGGACAACAGAGTAATTTGGAAAGTAAAATCTCTCCAGACCCTCATATTCACTAAAATAAATACAAAATTGTATAAGAGTTAAATACATATTTTAAAACAAGCCACAGAACATCTTTAAAAAATAGACGTGATTATCATGTCTTTGAGGGGATGACTTTTAAAGCTTGGATGAAATAAGGGACATCATACAGAGTGAAGGATCAACAGATCTGATGACACTCAACTTATAAATTATGTACATTCACAACCATTATATTACTCAGTTCTTTCTCAGGAGATGTGTGAGGTGTTGGATTAACTAACAGGACAGCGTGACCTTGAATCAGTCACTGCCTTCTCAGGTTTGGATCCTCTCAGTTATAAAACAGACGAGGGGCGGATGGCCTCTAAGAAACAATACGGTGCAGTGATTAACGTCTCCATCAGAATCCCAGCTCCTGGACAAGTTAGTTTACTTCTCCTGATTCTCTATTTCATCCTCTGTAAAATGGAAATAATATTAGTATCTGATGCTAGTGTTGTTTTGAAGATTAAATGAGATAATCCAAGTAACTATCTTCGTTTACCAATCCTAGGTAAAAGAACAAATAAACAAAAAACCAAACCCATTGCCATCGAGTCGATTCTGACTTATAGGGACCCTAGAGAACAGAGTAGAACTGTGCCTGGTGGATTCGAACTGCTGACCTTTTGGTTAGCAGCTGAACTCCTAACCACTATGCCACCAGGGTTTCCAATCTTAGGTATATACCCCAAAGTAGTGAAAGCAGGAACACAAACATAAACCTGTACACCAGTGTTCACTGCAGCACTTTTCCCAATAGCCAAAAGGTGGAAACAATCAAAATGTTCATCAACAGATGAATGGATAAACAAAAAGTGGCATATGCATACAATGGAATATTACTCAGTCATAAAGAGAAATGAAGTCCTGATGCATGTCACAACATCCGTGAAAACATGTGAAGTCAGTTGCAAAAGGACAAATACTGTATGATCTCACTTATGTGAAATAAGCAAAGATATAGAAACCAAAACTTATTATTCATTACCAGGGGTGGGAGGGAAGGGGAAAGGAGGAGTTTTTGCTGTGAGGGGACAGGGAGGGGGGCACCGAGTTCACATTAATGGTGGTAGAACAATTAGGAAAACGATATGGATAAAGGCTGTGCAACATGAAGAGTGTACTCAATGTTACTGAATTGTGCATGTAGAAACTGCTGAACTGGCGAATGTTTCGTTGTTCCTATGTGCACTATAATAAAAAAAAAAGTATAACTAAGTATCTTCATTTAAACACTGTTGATTTAAATTGCTGGACTTTAAGGATTATTTGTTACTACAGCATAACCTGGCCTCTCCTGTCTGATACACATCCGAGTAGTAAGTAGTGTGCAGATGGCTCTGACAGCTTACCTTCCTCATTACATAAATAACTTTCAGCTCAGCCTGCCTCATTATATTCTTATTTCTTCTGGGACATTACTGTGAACAAAGAAACAAGTTTGGTCCTGTGAATTAAGTATCAATTGGAATGCAAGGGGTGACTTAGGTCAACAACTGTTAGACCCTGGGGTGGCCATGTGATGCAAAGATACCTCAAACTCATTATATTTGAGTAAATTCCAACTCATAGCGACCCTATAGGACAGAGTAGAACTGCCCCATAGGGTTTTCAAGGAGTGGCTGGTGGATTCGAACTGCCAACCTTTTGGTTAGCAGCCAAGCTCTTAACCACTGTGCCACCAGGGTTCCAAAGATACCTCAAATGTTCTTTAACTGTGCTGGTAGAGGTTGTTCTTAACAACCAACCTTCAGGTATTTTCCTTCAGGGGAAGCTTCAGGCATCATGCCAATATTCTTTTGTCTTAAGTACTTAAAACCTGTCTGTTTTGAGGCAAGTTTAGAATCAGAAGAAAGACAAATCAGGCCTAATATTTCTACGATTTTCGTAGATGGATTAATGAATATTTATGGAAACTCTACAGGCCAACGCACCTTATGCATAGTCATCACTTCTCTCAGTGGAGGCTGCTGTGTTGCTATGATGCTGGAGAGGTTTCAACAGAGCTTCCAGGCTAAGATGGACTAGGAAGAAAAACTGGGTGACCAACTTATGAAAATCAGCCAATGAAAACCCTATGGATGTTGTCAACTGGTATTTGACAAGGGTGCTAAGTTCATTAGATGGGGAAAGAAGAGTCTCTTCAATAAGTGGTGCTGGGAACATTGGATTTCTACAAGCAGAAAAATGAAATAGGATCCATGCTTCACATCATACACAAAAACAAGTTCAAAATGGATTAAGGACCTAAACGTACAAACTAAAACCATAAAATTCTTATAAGAAAATGCAGGGGGAACGCTGTCAGGCCTAGTTGTAACAATGGGTTATCTAATATAATAACAAAAGCACAAACCGCGAAAGACGAAATAAATAAATAGGACCTCAAAAAATTAAAAACTTTTGTTTATCAAAAGACTTTACCAAAAAAGTGAAAAGGCAAGCTACGGACTGGGAGAATATCTTTGGAAACCATATATCCAATAAGAACCTAATAACCAAAATATATATAAAACTTTGATAACAACAAAAAGACAACCCAATCATAAAACAGGCAATGGTCTTGAACAGACATTTCACCAAAGAGGACATTCAAATGGCCACCAAACACATGAGAAGATGCTCAAGATCATTAGCCATCAGAGAGGTGCAAATCAAAACCACAATGAGATATCATTTCACTCTCACTAGGATGACTAAGATTAAAAAAAAAATTAGCAAGTATTGGTGAGGATGTGGGGAAACTGGAACCCTTATCCATTGCAGGCAGGAATGCAAAATGGTACAGGTGTTGTGGAAAACAGGGTGACTGTTCCTCAAAAAGCTAAATATAAACTTCCATATGATCCAGCAATTCCATTCCTAGGTGTATACCCAAAAGACTTGAAAGCAGAGACTCAAACAGAGACTTGTACACCAACGTTCACTGTAGCACTATTCACAATAGCCAAAAGGTAGAAACAACCTAAATGCCCATCAACAGGTGAATGGATAAACAAAATGTGATACATACATAGGATGGAATACTAAGCAGTCAGTAAGAGAAATGAAGTCTTGATACATGCTACAATATGGATGGAGCTGGAAGACATGCTGAGTGAAGTAAGTCAATTATAACAGGACAAATATTTCATGACCTCACTTATATAAAAAGACAAGAAAAAGCAAATATATAGAGACCAAAGTTTATTAGTGGTTACGGGGGGAGGGAGAGGGACTGGGAGTTTATTGCTTATGGACTGAGTTTCAGTTTACAGTAATGGAAAAATCACATTGATTAAGGGTAGGGTTGCATAGATGATTATCGTAAATGCTCTCAATAAGTTGTCCACCCGTAAAAAGTTGAACTGGCAAAAGTTGTGTGATAGATATATTTCCAACAATGACCAAAAAAAAAAAAAAAGAGTAGCTGCTGAGGCTGCTTATGTACACCAAACAGCTCATGGGATTTGGTTCCTTCGTTTGGAGATTTAGGGTCATGATTTCATGGGGCATCCCAGTTAATTGGCCTAATAACATGTTTAGTGCTTCTGTTCTACCTCCTAGTTCATTGTGTAGTGCCTGGGGTGTTAAAAGTTTGCAGGTGGCCATCTAAGGCACAACAATTGGTCTCTATTCACCTGGAGTAACAGAGGAAGAAAGAGAATCAGGAATAGGAGGAGGAAATGGACATGTGGCTAGTTGCTTCCATGAACTACCGCCTTTGTCATGAGACCAGAAGAACTGGATAGTGCCCAGCTACCGTTATTGAACATTTTGATCAAAGATTCTACAAAAGAATTCTGATCAAAAGGGGGAAAACGCAGATCAGAATTTCAAATTCTCATGGAATGCATACTTTCTGGAGGGTTAGAGGCTTGATGAATCCCCAGAATTATTACCCTGAAATAGTCTTTAAACTATAAGGCAAAAATATCCCCTGAAGTCTTCTTAAAATCCAACCATAGTTTAGCTTAACTAGTAAAGAATGTCTGCCTTGAGCATTATGCTCTTTTAAGATCTACCTATATGGGATCAAAATGACAATAGTAACTTGAAATATTAGACAAGAACCTTAGGGGGCAGTGAGTTTATGTTAATGAGGGAGGAATAACTCAGAAAAGGAGGGTGAGAATGGTTGCACAACCTGAAGAATGTAATCAATGTCATTGAATTATACATGTAGAAACTGTTGAATTTATGTGTTTTGCTGTGCATATTCTTAACAACAAAAAATAATAAAATAAATAATTAAAAAATTATAAAAAGAAAACCCCATGGATCATAAATGTCCAATCTGCAAGCCATCATAAAGATGGTACAGGACCAGGCAGTGTTTCCTGCAGCTGTGCATGGGTCATCATGAGTTGGGGGCTGACTCAGCAGCAGCTAACAACAACTATGCCTTGCATAATTTCCTGTTTCTTATACTCCTCATCACAACCCTATTAAGCACTAGTCTTCATCTCCATTTTATAGATGAGGAAACAGAGGCTCACAGATATTAGGGGGAAAAAGTAGTCCAAGATTCTAGAAGTGGCAGAACCAGGATTTAAACCCAGGCTTGTCAGATTCCAGAGCCCAGACTTCTTCCAGTACTGGTTAACTTATCAAATATTCAAAAAATGTGAAGTGAATGTTATCATGTCTGTTTTCAGATGAACACCTGAAGGTCAGGTGGGTAAGTACCTCATCTAAATCTAACTGTTTCCAGGACTCACAGAAGTCATCTCAAAGAATGACTGCAGATCTGCACCTGATCTAGATCAGGCCAAACAGCCAATACTGGGAGAACAAAATGGCATCCTGTCCATGCCAGTTTCATTTTCCTACCATCCTGGAAGACTTTTCAGTTCAATCCATCCCACTTAGTACATCCCTCTGGCCAAACCTTTGCCAATGCTTTTCTTTCTGCATAGACTCCCTTTTCCTCCAGGCTGGCAAGCTGAAGTTGAACTCATCTTCAAGGTTCAATTCATATGGCACATGGTGGTAGTCATTAGTGCTGTCCATCAGCTATTTCGAGTTTTCCTCTGGGACACAGGGTAAAATTACACTGTATCAATCAGTTTAAACTAAGTTATCAATCAGTTTAAGTTAAGTTATGCTGCAGTAGCAAACAATCTCAAAATTAAAGCTTACAACCACAAAGATTTGTCTCTTGCTCATGTATGTTCCCATTGTGGGTCATCTTTGGGTCTGTTCCATCATTTGAGGATTTAGGCTGAAGAAGCAGACTCTCATGGCAAAGAAAGAGAAATGGCTGAACTATCCTTAGCTCTTAAAGCTCCTGCTTTGAAGTGGCATCAATATTTCTACTCAAAGCCAAAATGAGACGCATGGCTAAGCCTGATATCAGTGGGGAAAGGATTATCATATTTCCACAGGGAGGGACCGTTTTAACAATGATATGGTCTGTCAGACTTGCGCCTCCCCCATCCCCTTGAAATTGGGTATGGTTACGTGACTTGCTTGGGCTAATGAATGTGAGATAAGTGATATGTTGCTTCCAGTAGGAAAGTTTAAGTTGTTGGTTAATGTTAGAACAAAACATTGCTCGGTCCTACACCATCCTCACAATCTTTGGTATGTTTGAGCTCATTGTTTTAGGTATTGTGTCAATCCATTTCACTGAGGGTTTTCCTTGTTTTTGCTGACCCTCTACTTTACCAAACGTGATGTTCTTTTCTAGCGATTGGTCTTTCCTGATGACGTGGCCAAAGTAAGCAAGACAGAGTCTCACCATCCTTGCTTCTAAGGAGCATTCTGGCTGTACTTCCTCCAAGACTGATTTGTTCATTCTTCTGGCAGTCCATGGTGTATTCAGTATTCTTCACCAATACCACAATTCAAACGTTTTAAGGAGTCAGTGTTAATTCATCACCTGCTCTCTTTCCTCTGCCATGAGCAATCAGCAGATGGTGGCAGGTCCTGGAGTGAGGACAGTGTGGAGCAGAGCCCCCAGCCGACCCTTCATGGACATGCAATTTGAGAAAACAACCACCTTATTATTTTAGTACTAAAATGTGAGGGTTTCTGTTACTACAGCATAGCCTAACTTATCCAGCTTAATATACACCTCCTTTGGAACACTTCACTTTACTTACAGGGTTCAGGGTAAGGTGCTCAGAACTGGACGTAGAGATTGACCAAAATGGTCAGCTACTGGAGATATTTTGGGGGAAATTGGAGAAATTTATGTATGGAGTATCTTAGATGATATTAGGGAATTATGGTTACTTTTATTAGGGAGGATAATAATACTGTGGTCATGTAGAAGAATGTTCTTTTTTATGGAGACGCCATCTGAAATAATTAGGGTTATGTAAGAAGAAGGGGTCCCTGAGTGGCACAGTTAAGTGCTCGGCTGCTAACTGAAAGGTTGGCTATTTAAACCTACCCAGAGGCACCTCGGAAGAAAGGCCTGATCACTGCTTCTGAAAAATCACAACCATAAAAACCCTATGGGGCACAGTTCTTGCGTGACACATGTGGGGTCACCATGAGTGAGACTCAACTCAACAGCAACTGGTCAACTGGCCATGTGACACACTGTCTTTACTTTGAAATGTTCCAAGAAAAAAGTTTAGGCAAAAAGATAGATATATAGACAGATGAAATACGATAAAATGTTGACTAATTTTTATCTCAGCGGTGGGCATATGGGTATTTATTATAGTATTCTTTCTGCTTTTCTAACTACTTGAGATTTTTCATAACAAAAAGTTAAAAATAAAAAACAAAATAATGCTTATAATCTTAAAAATGGAAATATTACAGGATCCAATTATTTTTAATAATTTGT